TGGAAGTTAGGCATGGGGAAATGCAGACTTCAGAATCAAAGGGTCAGCTTGGTTGCTAGCAGTTCAGAAACAGAAAATGAGATGCATTAAACTTCTTTCTGGTCAATCTTTATTTTACACATTTGCATCACAGCAGGGAAACCAAGTTACACAGACCATCCTGATTTGTATCTACCTTGCTTCTCTTCAAATACTGTTTGTTGTTCTTTTTAATAAAGTTTAAAAAAATACTGAAAAAATCCATTTGTACATCTGAACATGAACTGAGGAATAGGATATTTACAGGTCACCAAAACCCCTGGAACTGGACCTTGCTGTACACAGGAAAGTCTTTTTGAGTTCTTTTGGAGGTCATTTCCTAAATGAATTCAAAGCTACGTTGTACAAGGTGCCCTAAAGCTGCTTAATGACACAAGAGAATCTAGAATTAATTATTAATAGTTACTAAAGGGAAAGGGAAGCTATTTAGACCCATACTCTGTTTTGACAGAACAGGTACCAGCCCAACGCTCCAGTATCCTAGCTACAAGACGAAGTGCTTCTGATAATGTGGAGGTTGGCCTCTACGTTTACACAGAGAGCAGAACGCTGAGTGAAATCCCACAGGGAAATATTTATTAAGAATTGTCCTTTCTACAGGATCGCTGCAGTCAAAATATAAATGGGTTCTTGAGCCAGTCAACCGACAAGGAGTGACTTCTCTCAGCCACTTTCTTCCAGTACCATCACTTTACACATAAATTAGTATCTCAGTATTTTTCTTAAATCCTGTTCCAGCTACTTGCAAGTACATATCGTGCAGAGTTCTTACAGGACCATTGCTATATCCAACCGAGAAACTACAAGGGGGAAAAATATACAGCTTCCCAATATCGCTAAGTAAAAGTGATTAATAAGCCCAAACCAGCATCATATCCAGCAGCTACAAGAAAAGCCAGATTAATCCAATTTAGAACAGCGTTTTCCAGGAAATCAACCCCAGGGAACACAAAGAAACATTGGTCAAGTTGCTGCCTCTGGGCAGCACCACCTCAGTTTTCATGAAACACTCAGGTTACAGAAGTTACACACAAGATCACAGGCTTTAGACAGTGTAAGTCCCGGTATGTTTCAAATATCACTGTACCTTCCACCTACTGCAGACCACAGCTCCACGCTCTTTTTACAAAGGTGAAAAATGGGGAAACGTTTTATGATTGAAGTGGAGGTCATAACACAGAATCAATAAAACACATTTGCTTTAAAGTAGCAGTAGTCTGTTAGCTATCATGACAGGTCAAACTGAAGGAGACAAACCAGGCAGACTGAAGGAGGAAGGGTTTCCTTCCCTCAATACCTGTGCTACTACCCGATTATTTTTTTAATAGCTAAGCAACTTCAGTTCTCAGAGCTCAACAGAACACACAAATACCCAGTATTTCCTTCAAATGAGGCTGGGCAATTTTCAAATAGATTAAAAAACCCCACCCCTTTCTTGTCAATTTGATTGTCACTGGCCAGACTGCATTTCTATTCTTTACTAGGAGCATACTGTAAGGAGGAGAAAAAAAAAAAAAAAAAAAAAAAGACTTAACACACTAGAAATCTTCCATTGGACTTTCACCAAATGCACACACTGGAGTGATTAGGACGTGCCCTTTCATGGCCAGAAGGAATGTTACACTGCTTAAGGATACATGGTGGATGCACACTCATGGTAGAGAGAGTCCACTTAGCTTAGAAAAATACATCTTCCACATTACTAGCTCCAAGACAAAATACTGCAATGCAGCAAATTTTTACAACATGCTCCCAGGGTATGCCAGCATGGAAATCCAGGAACAGGGCACTCAGCTGGAGAGAAACACTGAACAATGCACTGCACCGATCATGACATGCTGAGTTTGATGACAACATGAAAGAGCATCTTAATAGGACAGCATGTGGCTTCTTCAACTTGAACTGCTACGTTTTGAGCAAGCAGCAGCAATATTCCAGATGACCCCATTATGTCTTGCTTTCTTTTAGTACATCTCTTGATGAACCATCAAGGAAAACATTTTCAAGCCCGAAGAATGCAAGAGTCTGGCAGTTGCACTGCAAGGAGGTTTCCTATGGAAGACAGCTTGCTGAACAGTTACAGCAGGAAGGAGTGCATCAGTGGCATCTGCAAGTCATCACCAACAGGGATTTATTGGGGCATAGTTTGCATTACAACTGAAGACTGAGCCAATTTCATTTTTGTCTGCAGACGGTGCCAAGTACTCCACTGCAGCAACATGTGAATGCATTCAAAACCATTTATTCCCAATTGCACCAGACCTGCTTTTCCAGGACTCCTGTCATTATACCACTGTGTACTCGCAGGGTGATTGTTTTAGTTGCTCGCTTCAGTAAAAGGCAAAAAGACAGGAAAGTAAGGCTGTATCCCAAAACAATCTGTAAGCCACAAGCAGCTCTTCTGTTTTCCCTCCCCATGAAAGTCAGAGCTTCCTACCAGATAGACAGCCGTCAGCATCTGAAAGGCAAGCACTACGATTATCCTGCCCGGTGAGCTCTAAGCTGCCACTTTTCACTAGCAAGAGAGAGTCATGCACTTGCCAGTCATGCAGATGTGGGTTCACCTTGGGAGGAAGGGGGAGGGAACAGCCCTCCCTTTGACGCTTTGTGGTGCAGCACACACTGTGCTGTGTGAGAAGCACAGCTCCAGCCATCCTCTGTGTCCTCCAACATCCCAGCCACCGTCCAATCCATCATACAACTGCAAGACAAATTTTTCCAACCTGCTCCAAGGAATTCCACCAGAGAAAGTGGAAATTTACTTTGGAAATGGCTGAAGTAAGAACCTGCTGTCACTGTCGTTTTTGACTGCTATGTCCACATTCATTTTCTTTACTAATGCTTAGGTCTGACCGGTTACTGATGCACTGCTGGTTAGCATCCTGCATAAAGTGCCAGCTGAAGTTGGTTGTACTTGGGTCTGAACTTGGAAACAGCTCTTCTAAAAACACTTTTGGAGTACTGCCATGGCTTTTCACGCCAAGAAAAAGAGAAGTCACCCATTTTTTGACCCTTGACTAGTGAGCCAGGGACTTGGCACATAAACCTACACCATGCGTAACTTTAGCAAAAAAGTGCATATAAAAAAAGGAAACCTGAGGCTAAGACAAAAGCACTCACCAAATCAGTGGCTCCACTGGTGCTGAGGTACACAATAGGCAGCTGTTTGGAACCAGCACAGCCCCTCATGTTTTTGGCTGAAACGCCACACCTATCAGAATTTCACATCTCATTTGCAAAAGGTATTAACAAGGTCCTAAGACAGCATCATGTCTGCATTAACACTGTTATTGCACTTCTGTTCCTGACAGCAAATCCTTACCCTTTACATACTTTAGTGCCAATAGACTTCAAGTCTACAGTGGACTACTCTGAACAAAGTTTACAGCCTGTCTGAGTAGCCCTTTGGATGCAGACAGTGACATTTCCACACAGACAGTTAACTGTGTAAGGAGTGAGAGGATGAGTTTTTCAGGTATTGTATTTAAGTGTATGATGAGCTGGGACTGCCTATGTTTGTTTATAGTCCAATTTCTCACACCTCAGCTACTTAATATGCAGAAGATTTCCTCATACAGAAGGTCTGAAAGGCTCATAGGTCACCTAACAGCCTTTCTAGTTGTGTAGGCTTCTCTGTTTTCACTAAAACTGTATCTTTACAAAACAATGACAGCAGAAGTCAAACCATTGCTGCTGCAATTACTATGCAGTTACAGCTGAGGAGGCATAGATAGAAGAGGACTCTGTACCCTGAGAAGAGGGCTGTTCTCATGCTTTATCATAAGAGAAACCAGTTCCAGGTATCAGAGCAGGTAGATTCATATCTACCATTTTCATGACGCATAGAACCAACACCTGGGAAAAGAAGTGGCAACTGGAGAAAACAATGCTGCTTTTCAAACAGCAAGTCTTGGTACAGACTGCTTGTTTAGGAGCTCTACAATCCCTGTTCAAGACTGAGGAAGAAGTGGTTCAAGGTTCCAAAGAAAATCCCATTTCTAAACTTAAAGAATAAAAAAACCTAGTGGCTAACAGTCCTCTAACCAGTTGTGCGCCGGAGATGTAGTCCCTTCAGTCAGAAAAGCAATTCCCAAGTGAGTTTGTAAAAGATGCTGGCACATACGAAGCTCTGTGATGATCACTATTCCTGTCACCCTGACAGAAGCACTTTGCTCAACAGCACCATACATCAATGTCTCTACATGAATATTAAGGCTTCAGTGGGTCAGTGAGTTATACTTGATTTATTTTTCTTAAAGCTTATCCTCATTACATCAGTGAACCACTGCCATCCTCCCCCAAATTAACAATAATTTCCTATGCCTTACTACTACAGCTATGGGCCCCAGCTTGCCTTACTAACAGTAGCAGAGTACTACAGATAAAATGCACGTGGCATTTGTAACATGACTCTAAAGGCTCCACTGCAAGCTTGCAGCTGATAGTTAAGACTTCCATATTCCCCTGCATTGAATGTTCTGGTCATAACTTTCTCCTTTCCCAACAAAAAAAAAACATTTAGGCCTGGAAGCTGCGGTTACCTGGTTTTGGCAGCAATACCATTTTGACCAGTTCAGCCCATCTCAAACAGCAATATCATTAATTCTACATAGCTGGAGAGGTACAAGGAACCAACCAGAGAGGCTAAGTAACTCAGGATAATGGTGAACCAGAGGTTTATGCTGCAGTACATTTGCTACACAGATTTCCACTGGAGATTCTGGTACTGCTTACAGTGTGCCAGAAAGGAGTGTCTTTTGAAATACCTTGAAAATATTTTACGAAGCATATCAAAAGTGCTCTGGGTCACAGCTTGAAATTAAATGTTTAAGATAGCATGGCAGACCCCTAAAAAGCAAGCATCAGTCTTACACCTCTTGTGTACTTCTTGTCAGGTGGGTGTGAATCAAGAGCAACTCCATGAACAGTGGAGATTTTACATTAATGCTTATTGCACTACAGGCTAGTGCTTTTAGTGGAGAACAGTCACTTGCTTCCTATATAGCAATACATTTGAAAACCCGACACATTCAAGTGGATACCTGCATGGGTAAGACAAGAAGATACTTATCAACTTTCCCACTGATGTGAGTAGTGGCAGAAGCCATCTGACCCAATACCCTATTTAGTCTCTCAAATAACTGCAGTTGTTTCTATTCATTTGTTTTGCAACAATTTGTCCAAGGCAAAAGGAGAGTTTATAAAAAGAAAAAAGAATACTTACATCTCTTATCTTCTTTTCCCACCTTCTGACACGCTTTGCAATTCCCAGCATACATGTTACATAGCAAGTGTGTGTATAAATATATGCGTATTATATAAAATATATAGTTTACATACACACTAAAGGTCTCTCTTCACATTAGCATTACACATTCTGAAGAATGCAACTGCAAGCAACTCAGAATACCTAACCAATCCAGAAAGGGGAAAAAAAGAATAAGCTACCCAAAATCCCTAGGAAAGCTTCACACTCCTTGCAGGTACCAAGAGATCCCATTTTCTTATGATCAGAGGAATAGTTGTATTTCTGCACTGCTTTGCTCCCCCTAGACACACCCCACTCTGCAGTTTCAGTGTTGGGAAGTGCTAGTTGCTCCCTTTCCACTGAGAGTAATAATAATAAATTAAAAAAGTTTCTCCAAAAGTGCTGCCTTAGTCCAGTCCATCATGCCATGCTTTCCCACTCGCCCCGTGGCTCTTCTGAACCATTCACCACCTTCTTGACCTTCTTCATGCCCTCCATTACTCCAGAAGTTGTCACCCTGGAAGAGAAGGGAGAAACATCAGAGAATCAGACTTGAACTGTAACATCCATTTCACCAACAGCCCAGGCTTGTGTTCCTGCACATATCAAATAACACTTCAAGTGTCTCATTACCAAGACCTAGCAGTCTCGATGTTTGGCCTTTCCTATTGCTACCATCTTGCAGGCCAGGTGTCATCTTGGACACAATGCTGATGGGTGTTGGAAGCAAGGTCGTTGTACTTGAGAGCCTCAAGGCCCTCCCCATCCATCATTAAACTAAATGAGCAAACAGTATTTCCTCATACTTGGAAGATAGAGGGGGTGGTTAAATGGCTAAAACAGGTGTTTATTTGCTAAAGTTTGAGCACCTTGCTTAAAAAACATTTTGCTATACAACTGAACACCCTTAATTCCGTGCATTAAATACTTTCTTCTGCATTTACAATGCTTTTAATAGGTACAAAGTATTAATACAAATGCACACAGTGGACAGTGCCCCAAGTGAACCTCACTAGCTTAATGCACACTAACTCCTGTTAATAGCAAAATTACTCAATGAACAGCAACAAGACAGAAGAGAGAGGTCATCCTTTTTATACCATCCAAGTCTGGATTTGTCATGGCAATCTGACCAACTATAAAGCCTCATAATACTGTTCAAACATTAGGCAGACTGAACTGTTCAGCCAGCCAGAACAGCACCACTCCTCTCAGAACTACCTCGGCTATCCAACAAGCTTTCAGCCCAGTAGCTTTCTCTGTTGCTACACAGAACAGGCTATTCACATGCGCTAGACATTCACTTTACTCTTTTGCACAATATTATTCTTATTCCATACAAGTATTTTTTTTCCTCCACAAGTGTGCTTCAAAGGTTATTTTGGATGCTGAAAGTAAGAGTGTGAATAGCTCAATGCATTCACAAGGGATGTCTGGAGGCACACATAAAACTGTCCTGTTCAAAGATGCCGCTGTCAGTCTTTGTGTGATTTCACCTGCTGTTGACCATGCAAGAATACTTTATTTGATCAGACTAGCTAACAACATTTTCACAGTACCACCCAAGAGAAGAAGTCATCTTCAGATACACTCTTCTGATAATTCCCTTAGTTCCATATTAGATATCAGCTTCTGTACATGTACTGTAAAAATTATTTACTCAAAATGGTGCGTTCAGTGACTCTAGTGGTGGCAGTACTGGGATCATCAGTGGTTCAGACACTTCAGAGTGCGCGTAGATGAGCTTGTGTTTAAGGGAATAGGGAAAGGGTCAGATGAGCACAGATCAAATAGCAACTTTGTTCCCTATTGAAATAAAAAAACAAAAGGGGAGAAAAGTAAGCAGGTTGCTTAAAGGAAGAAGATGGAATTAGTAAACAGTAGACATTTGCCTGGAAGAAATCACATCAAGCTTATCGGCACAGGGAACATGTAGATCTCTTAAGCTCTCCCTGTTGATGAAGGTTTTCCCACAGTCACATAGCAAAAAATCTGGGGAAACATGAGCTAGACAAAACCAAAGTAGATGCGTAACTAATTGGAAAAGCATGCATTGAGATGTACTTAATGGTTTCCTGTCAAAAATGAAAGAACATTGAGCATGGTTCCAGAGAGGTCTGTCCTGGGTTCACTTCTACTCAATATTTTCAGTAATTGCCTGGGTAATGGAATAGAGAACTTGCTTATTAAATCTGCAGAAGGCACTAAGAGCTACATATTTGAGAACAGGACTAGAATGCAGAAGGATTCTGGCAAATCAAAGTAATGGTCTGAAAAATATGGGACAATGCAGCAAGACAACTACAAAGTTTACTCTAACAAACTTTGTAATTACAGAATAAGGGGCTAAGTATCAATTCTTCAGGGAGGAGCTGAAGATTACAGTGGACTACAAACCAAAAATGAGCCACTAACATAGCAATGCAACAGCAGACATGCTGGGGTATATAAATAGGTGTTTTGCACATGTATGACACCAAAGTAGTCCTACCACTTGACTCACAGCTAGTAAAATCCCACCTGGCACACAGTCAAGACTTTAGCTCTGGACTTTAATACAATTACAAGCCCATTACACACCAAGATGATGACAAAAATGATCAGAGGCTATGGCTAAGAGGGAATGATCTGCTTTCATGGAGGGAAAGGACAAACAGCTACATACTGAAGTTGCAGCCAGGTCAAGTCACATCATTTGTTACCAGAGAGGCCATTTACTGTCCCTGCCATGATAGCAAAGAACTGGGAGAGATTTTGGGGTAGATTCCTCAACAGTGAAAGTTAAAGACCATCTGATGATTACTGTTCTTGTCTCATGACAAGTATATGGCATAGCTCCCGAGTCCTCATCTTCTCAGATTGTTCATGTACAATGGGCAATTCCTCTCCCTCAAAATCAGTTCAGCCAACACGTTTTAGTGCCCAGTAAAATAAGGGTCTCAGCACTAAAACCAAGCACACTGCAATTCTCATTCAAGTCCTCTGAGCAGCATCAAGACTTCAGTCCTGACCTGCAATACTGCAAGTAAGTGTTCCTCACCTACAGTTTACTGAACTGCATTTCTGGCCCACAAACTAGTAGTAGCTAAAATGCAACAAATCCTTCTCACTAAACCATCTCTCTCCAGAGAGAGTTTTTGTGGCTGTCAGAGGGACACCTGTCACAAGTGAGGGCACAAAAGGAGTTCCTTGAACACTCCACTGCACAGTGGTACACAGTGCGGAAATGTCATAATTTTTGCCTCCCCCCTCCCCACCCCCTATCTGAGGTATCAAAGAGATGGCTGAACATTCAGAAGCATTTTCAGCCCTCCACAGTGGTGGATCTCAGCTGTCTTTACTCCTGTTTGTTGTTTTATAATCCCAAAAAGAAACACTGCAATACTGGCAGCAGCCAGCCTTTACAAGCTATTGCAAACTGGAGTGAAAACTGATCAGCCGTTGAGCAAAAAAGCTGATCTCTGCATGGCAAAGATGTGTTAGGTGAAGAAAATCACTTCTAATGGAGAGCATCATGAATCAGTCTGCCATGAAGCACAACCTGAGAGAAAGCAACCAACCAGGACTTGAAGTCTCAGCACAGAATAGGTTGCCTCATGATACAGTAAGAAACTCCAGATCACAAGGCATAAGTAAAGGTGGGTCAGTGTTACCACAAAAGTTCACTATGTTGAGGCTGTTTTGGGTGTTAAAAAAAACCCCCAAAGTTAGTCTCCACGCACTCAGTTAAGATGGATTTACTGAATTAACAACAAAACCATTCACTAATGACTCTTCCTGCAGTTCCTCCTCCAGAGGGAATATCTTAACCCCACATGCATGTATGAACGTCATTCTCAACCAAGATCTGAGAAGAGCACTTTGGTATCTAACATTTAAAGCAAACTTGCTGAGCTAATGAAAAAAAAAAAAACACTTACCGCAAGAGTAAAAAAAAAAAAAAAAAAAAAACCCAAACTGCTTCCTTTCCCCTTCCTCACCCCACCTCATCTACTGTACTGTTTATATCTTTGTGTCCATGCCCCAGAAATGGCATTAGGACTGGAAGCCTGACAACTCTTTCTGCCAAGTGTGGCTGCACCTTTTCAAACAGAGTACTTAAATCTAACAAACTGTCAGCGACAAACCCACATACTGATGGAACAGGCTCAAGAGGCTGCCCAGCAGAGAATACACAGAAAGCCACTTTGTTGATGATGAATGGCTATTGACCCTATTTGAAAAAGAACAGACTGGTCCTTAGTCCAGGTTTAGTGATACTCTCCTCTCCACCAGGAGAACTTCTACTGAGTCTGGTAGAACTGAAGAGAAAGTCCTATGCCGAGATAGAGACGTGTTAGTTGAAGAGGCTTACTACAAGTTACCTTTGCTGTTCTTGATTTATAGCTTATTTTTGAGAGTTACAAGAATTTACAGAGGGCAGATTTGTGCCTTATGTTGCTTCTGTCACAGACACCTAGTCTTTGGACTTTTCTTGAAACTTTGCAGATTTCTACACTGTCCTTAACCATATTTACATTTACTGCCAGACTGAGCTTTGTATAGTTTGCACTGCACGAAACCAGCCATAAGCTAGAGAGCTGCACTTAAAATGTTCTATTTTTTGCTGGAAAACAAGCAAGCCTGGAAAACAGGCTTGGTGACCTCACAGCTCTCCCCTCTGTTGGCTCATAGAAATGTTGAGTCTAAAGAAACTGAATGCTTCTGCAGCAAATGTTTTAAAGAGCTTGATTTTAACAAAAACCCTCTGGGAGAAGAAAACAACCATAAAACCTGGCAATAAGACATGGCAGAACACCGTGAAGTTTGAAAGCTTTTAACTTCTGCCATAGCCTCTGAAGACAAGTGAGTATTTATCACGTGAAAGACAAAACACACTCATACAATGGTTGGTCAGGATGCTGTCAGGCACTTAGTCACTTCTCAAATAAGC